TTTTTGTACTGCCATATTTATACCTAACACCTTCAAACACATATTATTTTAGAGATCTGATACCATCTAGTGTTATTGCTGGCTTTTCACATCTTACACTTATCAAGTAACCACAGTCAGCAACATGTCAGAGTTCATCACTGCACCACGTCAGTAGTAAAATAAAACCTGCTTCCCACCCAGTATCTATATTTACACACCCCACAGGTGGGTGGTGAAATTTACAGTTCATCTAGGAAATTTGCTCTTCTTTAATCTCTGGAAATTAGTTTATCTCTATGTATACTTATCATTATTATCTAGTGCCTCGCCACTGATTTGTTTCAGCCCCTGTAGCACATAGGCTGGGATTATTAATAACAAACACGTGTATTTATAAACAGCCTATGTACAATCTTGGGCACACAAGGGTCAAGGGTACATTTACTTTGAAGCAACCAATATTTCATCCTGTTGTTCAGTGAATTAGATGAGATTTTAATTTGCAATCAGTGACTGGTGCAAAGTCTTCCTAAATATTCATAGTTACTAAAAGCTGGTGCTGTCTAGGAGGGAGATGCTTGTATTATTTCATCCTAAAAAATCAACAAGAAGAGCCAGTCTCTGCTGGACAAAACAATGTGTTCATCTGTTTGGGCACAGAGAGCTTTAAAACACAATGTGCTGCTGAACCGAAAAGACACAGAAATACAGTATATTCAGAAAGGTGAAAAAGAAAGAAAGAAACAGTGTGGTTAGTATTATAAAAGATGGTGGATTAGTATCCATGGAGACTCCTTTCTTTTCTTTATTCACCCAACATCTACCGGACGATTGGTGATTTCTGTACAACATCCCAACACTGCCTTAATTTGGACAGACAGCAAACACCTTTGTAGCTAAAAGGGTAGTTTGGACTCCGTGTCCCTCAGCTCAAGGCCTCTCTTGTATAATTGGGATGTATGTCAGTTATGATAGTAACGTCTGCAGCAGGGCCACTTGCCTACTTTAGAAGTAGACTGGTGGCCGTCAATACTTTTAAGTCACTCAGCAACCTAGAAACAGCAATCTACAGGAGGTTCATATTTATTGCTACTCCTTTCAAGCAATTTACTATCTACAAAGGACATTATTCTTTAAGGATTAAGTGCTTCATTGGAATCAGAGGAAGGGGAGTTTGTTATTTCACAGCTTTGTGTAACATAAAATTAGGATATTTTTCAGGGCTGTGTTTCAGTTACTTATGACTGCTGGCAGTGGGTACTAAATCCTTTTACACGTTAAAGGTGTAGTTTTCTGTGATGCTTACACATGCTAAATTCCTGGGACTGGGAAACAGATACTTGTCTTTTAGGAGCACTTTTGTACACACAACTTCTTACTATACAGGCCATATGAATGAGATCAGCTTAGAGGGGAAACACTTCTGTGCCTCTAATAAGAAGGTAAAGAACAAGAAAAAGAGTGACAAGGCTTTTCTAGAGTGGACTGCCTCCGAAACATGAGGTGTTGGTGTGTGAATATTAATAAATTTTTATATTAGAGAAACAATGCAGCAATTAGGAAGAGTTGCCTCGTGCCTTTATTGTGTTCAAAATGTATGGTTAATTTATAAAACAACCACTAAAAGTTAGTACATTTCATATGTGACTGTCCACACTCAGAACAAAAGTGTGTTGAACACTGATTTAGCTGAAGCACACCAGCCCCAGTGCACACGTAGACCTGACCAAATCCACCAGAAGTTGCTGCAGTTGATCAACGGCTTGACCAAGACGGTAGAGTTGTCAGAGCACGCTGTCAGATGTGGTTGTGAGAACAAGCATTATGGAGAACTTCAACTAAAAATAACAAGCATCTACCTTTACGGAGTTCAGCTCTGAGGGGCCACAAAGAGGCCGGATCCAGCAGAGAGGCTGCCCTCAGGCAAAGGGATGGCGATGAGATGCTGGATACACCTGTACCCATCACAAAGCCGGTGCCCCACCTTGTAGCCCCAACTGGAGGCAGATGAATAGGCACCAGTACTACTAACTCAGGGATCTTTAAGGGTTTACTCAAGCCAATTATGCTATGGCAACATAGAGGTTACAAAGACAAGAAAATGTCGATACCAAAGAGGGACAGTCACGGCCTCAGGGCCAACCACTAATGAAAATTAGCAACGCGTGTCCCTATGCCTACTGCGTAGGAACTGAATAACACCACTATGCACGATATGACCCCAAATGTATTTACTCTTCCCATTCCTCACAGTCATTTTCCCCCTAGCTTCCCCTCTATTATTTCAGTTAAAACTTTTTTGATCTCTGTGTTGTGAAATCTCTATGGCCATGCTCATTCAGTTTCTGCCAGTGCACGAGCAACAGCGCTGTTGGGAAATTTTCAAGAGGTAGGCTAGCTGGAAAAAAGGTGTTATGGTGTTATTTATTTATTTTTTCCCTACAGTAGCATTTTTCAAGTGTTAAGAATGGCTTGGATATCATCTTTTCATTTTTTTTTTCCATGAAAAATACGTTGACAACTCTTATTTTGAAACAGTCTTATCAAAGAAAAAGAGAAAAAAAGCAGCTGTTTCAAACTCTTTGAAGCAAAGCTGACTAAAATACCTCAATTTTTTTTGTTCTACTCAAATGTTCCATTTTCCTTTATATGACAAGAGGACTGGAAGCAAGTCCTCTCTTTTGACCTGGCATTAGGTTTTTGGGGGAATGACATCTGTTCTGACTGATGCCTTGAGGAATTCCAAACAACAGAATCCCCTCATGTGAGCACAGGACTTCAATGTCACCGGCACATATAGCAACCAGCATATTTATAACAGTTTTTGACGACAACAGTTCAGTCTACCTCAGCTGATATCCCAAAGTCAACAACATATGCCCATTTTTTTCCACTCTTGTAACACACGTGGGCTTTTCAGCCACAAGTACTTTCTGTGTTTAAATTAAACATATGATATAGCTATAAACTGAAATGCTTTCCTTGTGAAAGGTTCCCTGATAGACTGCAATAATTATTTGCTTTTACATAGTTTCAGAAGGTACGTAAAAGCCTCTCAGTTTGACACAGACACAGCTTGGGTGTTTTTATTTTTAACAAAGCAAGCTCTTGAAGTATCCTTATTTTTACTGTTTTGACTGCATTACCAGCTGAAATGTGAATATCCTTTGAGATCCATCATGTCACCTATAGTTATCTGAAATGCTGCTCTTAATTCATTGCACACAGAAATAAATATACAAATCCAGTCTGACAGTCTCATTTTATATGACAGTTCTCAATCGCATGGGAGATGTGTACCACCAAACTGTGTTTACTAAACTGTATTTACCAAAATGTATTTACTAAACGTATATTAAAAACCTGTTCTGTATGACTACTTGGATTAGAAAACATGTTTCAGGAATGCATCTACAAAAGCACAGTCCAATCCATGTTTCTTGCCCTAATACAGATCTAATAAAAATGTTCACAAAATTCTTCAGGGTTTGCTGTCTTTCAATTTCTCCCCCTCAGGTGCTTCCCTCCCAGGGGACTGGTTGTTTTAAAAACAAATCTAACTATGAGTCTTGTTTTTCCTGGAAAATCTCCAGATAAGCACAAGGTGAAATCACTTTTTTTTTTCCCCCCCTCATCAGAGCTATTTCTTTGTATCTTTGACATTGCTTTTATTCTTTTAAATTAAAGAGGGAATCTGTAAATCTCTGCAACTGCAAAGGACTGAATTGCAGCTCCGCCTGGGAAAGGCCATGGTTTACAGCAAAGCTTATAGCTCTGGAGACGAACACGGTGGCTCCCAGCTCACGCAGGACGTAATGGGCTTTCCAAGCCACTGCCTTAATGGCTCGTTTCTCCCTGCATAGGTGTGGCCACGCTAATGCTCTGGAACAGTCTGGTAATGGTAAGTCATACGTTGTGTGGACAGGGTCAAGGGAGGAAAGGGGAAAACGTGCCATTTTCCACCACTTACCACCACTTCCCAATTTAGAAGTGAGGCAAGGTCTATGGAAAAAAAGGCATTACCTAGCACAGCACACCTGTGTTCTCTCCTGCCATCAGGCTGTCACAGCTACAATAACATGACTGGTACAGGCTTCGAAGAGACAGAGCTGAATCACCCAGAAATTCAGCAGCAGAGCCTTCTGGGCTGTTGTGGAGCATCTAGAAAGACCTACTTAAAATTACTGTAAGGTACCACAGCGCTCCCAGCAAGAGGCAGGCTGCTTTGTGGAGCCCCTTCTCTCTGTAAGGTAAGGAGTGCATCCGCACACGCTGACTGAACCATGGCAAAGCCTAGAGTTGCTCAGGGCTTTCTTGATGTGTTTGCATAATTGTGGTTTTTCAGACCAAAAGCGGAAGGTAAACTTCATAAAAGCCTGACCTGACGGCCTTCACAGCTGGAGCATGTTGGGAATCACTCCTGGCACCGAAAAGGTTAATTGTCTCCTGCTGTGAGGTAGGAGTCTAGAAAAGGATACCACATTTGGTGGGAATTATAGTAAATGAGGTTTTCTTTATAGCACTGCTCATTCTCAACATGTTGAAAGGGCATTAGTTCACAGTCACTTTCTCTGGAATTATCAAATCTGCTCAGGAAGCCTTCATTAGGATATTAAACAAGACTTAATAAGTGAAAGTGATTTGCATCGCTGATAATCGTGTGCATTAATCAAGCAAGCTTCTGTCTCTCCCTCTGCAATATGTTTCATGTTGCATTGTAAAGCCTCTTTAATTCTGTAGGGCTTCTTAAAAAGGAAACGTTACATTTAGAAAGCCATTTTTAAAATGATTTACTTAGCAAAGATCACTATAAATAATGTTCAACTCACTCCTCAGCTTTAACCATCAATATAATTAATACTGAGGGGTTTGTATCAGGGATATGGACCAGATGTGTTCCCATTTATCAGATATAGATTGCACTTACTCTAATAAATGTGTTTTCGTTCTGAGTAACTTTTGAAACCAAATAACTGCATGTAGCACTTTAATCTGAAGTCACAATTTTAGGCTAAGGCATTTATTTCTCATGCCATGCAGGACCGTGCAAGCTTTCACTACATCATTTCACACGCCAGAGTCACACCCATGGTTCTTAATGAAATTGTGTGGCTAATATCCCCCACTACTCAGTAATTCCAAGGTAACTTTGGATGATCTGCTCTTAGGTGTAATTCATACCTTGCATTTCTCCAGCATCTTCCTTCCCAAGATCTCACAGTGCGTGGAAATAGGTTTAATTTTCAGAACACCCCACAAGACAAACATTTTGCACACTTGCAAACCAAGACTCAGAGGATAAGTGTCTTTGCAAATCCCTGAGAAAACAGAATGAAAACCTTAAAAACCAAAAGGCCTATTCTGCTGCTCTCACCACTGGCCCACACTGCACCAGTGTTGGCCACCCTCTCTAGTACAAGCCCACAAACACCAGGAGGGCTTTGCACACAAGTGCCACTTGGACACTCCACAGCCAAGGGAATAATTTTAATTTCTCTAACATGGAAAAAGTGTCAATATCATTATTTTTCCACCAAAAGTCTCACCTAGGATAGCTTTAAGGAAAATCATTTCACAAGAGCCAGCAGCCTCTGTGAAAATACGGCAAAATGAATAATTATTGCTTATAGTGCAGCAGTCAGGAAGGACTGGGATTATGGTCTGTAAATATACAATAAGGACCAACGCCATAGTCTAAGTAAGGAATAATATTGGTGTCAGGGTGAAGAAAAGAAGCACAGTACTTAAATTAGCTCACCCATGGGAGTGACCTCTGATCCACCAAACTGATAATGGTGGTAGGAGGTGCTTATGCATCTATGGAGGTGGACAGATCAGAGCCTTAGCAACTGAGATCCTGCTAGGCTACTTGTGATACGTCTGTCCTTCTGATCCTGGAGAAAAATCAGAGGAGGAAATTACCTCAGCTGGTGGGAGTACATGGTCCTCTTTTTCTGCAGGTCTGATGATTTGGTCCACTCCCCAGGAGAAGCAGCCATTGTTTCTCAACGCTTGTTGCATGTACTTTTTGCAGCTGTCCTCACTGCATCTCATGGTATTTACATCCTACTGAGACCTGCAAACGTCATTTAAGAAACAATCACTGAAATTAAGACCACGAGAGTATTTATTGCTCTCAAAAAAAAAAAAAAAAAAGCTGTTTGCTGGAGAACTTGTTTGCGTTCACTCGGGCTGAGCACATTGCTTAAATGGAGCTAAAGAGATGATGTTTCTATAAAGTTGTGGAGGCTCAATTCATTCTAATGGCCTGAAACATGAATTATGTGCCCTGCTTCACTACCTTCATGGATCAGTAAGCTGCTATAGCTCAGATGGAAGCATTTATCTGAGGAGAGAAAGGCGTTATTCCCCACTTACTGCTGATTTCCTGCTGTTTGTGTCTATATAGGTGTTCACGTGTGTTGCTTTCCAGATATCAGGTGTTAAGCTTCATAGGTCTCTCTGACCAGTTCCCTTTGTTTTCTAGAGTGTATTTGAGAAGACTGTCACCCAGTAATTCTTTTCTGTTTTCAATATCGAGTTTTATGGTTGGGCTATTCATGTGGGTGCGAAGCTGTGCCTCGAAGCTTTGAAATCCGTTATGTGGATTCACTCTGATGATAACCAAATGGGAAAAATATTTCGGTGTCCACTTATAAGAGCACAAATGCAACCATATTTTTTTTTTCCCCTAACTGCTGTATAAAAGTTTTAAATTTTCAAAACGGGAGCATGACATTTAAGCACCCAAATCAGTGCTTTGATGTTTAAATGGATTTGGCCATTTATTTTTCCAGTATGCTGGGAGTTGCACTGGAGGTCAGTGCGGCAGGCTTGCCCAAGCATGGTCCATTACCCTCTGCAGCAGCAGCAGGCATGGAACAAAGGGACCCCTTCATTATCACGCACAAGGAAAACCCTGGCAGAGGCTGAAAGAAGGTAATGAGTATATCTACAGTGAACAAATACAGTGGTGTACAAAGATACCCAAACTAGCTCTAATTGACAAAATGCAGTTTCTCTACATGGCATTGCGCCGTGCCATGTAAACATAGCCTAAACCTGTGGTTAGGGTGGTACCTTCCTGGGAATTCTGGGCAAAGTTAGCTTTAGGGCCAAGACTCCCTCCATTTAGCTCTGACAACTGGAAGATTTGAGCGAAAGCTGATGATATTCCTCTATTCTGAATTACTGTTGCCAACTGTATCAGTCTTAAAGCCCCTGCTCCTGGGATCATATGATTTGCTGAGAATCTCTACTCTCATTTAATAATAAAAAGGTAATTTCCATCAATGATGCAGAGGAAAGCTTGGAAGCATGACCAGAATATGTCCTGAAACCTCTCCTCTCCTGCCAAAAAATCCCTCAGAGGTAATAAAAGGAGCCTAAAAGGTATTATTTTTAATCTTCCAATATTTAAGCCAATGACATAATTCTCCGCGCTGCAGAATCTTATGATTTTTGAGCACTCAGAAGTATTAATAATGCAGTCTAAAACAGATATTTGTGAAAAGACAGCACTAAATAGCACAGGGGAGAGGCAGATGAGGCCTTCAGAATAGCAGAGCAGGGCTGGGGAGGGAGGGAGGGGGAACGGACACACACGCTGTACTGCTAAATAAAACAGGCTCTGGATGCTTCTCTGTTCAGAGGCCAACTGGAACGAAATGGCCAGTGTCCATCTACATAAATTTGCTTTCCCCCCCAAACGGGGTGGCTGCCTTCAAAATGCCCACCGGGATGAGTCCCTGGCTAGTGCGGGGAGCTATAGCACTGCTGGGAGAGCACTGGTGGGTGTAAGCCACAACCGAGCCAAGAAGCCTGCTGACAGTCGAACAATATAGGTAGGCACATCCTAGCGCTCAGCCCCGCTTTATTTACTGCCGCAAGCTCCTGGTATCATAAGAAGGGCACGCTGCAGGGCTGCAGACTCAGGTAGCTGGGGAATGGGGCATATGCAGAAGCCCTGAGACAGCGGAGGCTGTGATGGGGCTGCAGGATGATGGAAAAGGGTAAGAGAAGTACAGAGCGAGGGAGTGTTTGGCAGGTGGGAAAAGAAAAGCACGAGGAGCCAGAAGGCAGCAAAATGTGCATGTCTCTTAACACTGAAGCTGGAATGATTTTCTCAGCCGAAAAGCACAAGTGCCCTTTTCACAATAAAACGTCACTACACAGCTTGTTTCCCACCATGTCCATGTTTGTAGAAGTTCCCCGATAAATATAAGCCTTGCTAAGCCAGATCGACATATTACCCAGAAAGAATTAAGTACCAAATTTTAATATACTCTTCTTTACACATCACATTCAAAACTCAGGAGAGATGATACCAACCAACTGCTTTCAGGAAAACACACACACACAAAACCTCATCTACAACAAGATTGTTGGTTTAGGTTTAATTGGAGTAAATGCTCTTGTAAAAGGGATTCATATAGGATTTCTCAGCCTGCTAAAATTCATGGGTAATATTGGCGTCAAATACAATTCTGTACGATTTTAAAATGGAGGAGTCTGTCCAAATATAGGGTCTGACTCTATCTCCATTGCCGCTAACTTTCACTCCCCCTCCAAAAGGATTGCACATTAGAGACAAATACTCAAATTTGGAGCAAAATTTGGATGAGGCGTTTTTGGAGGACTCATCTGATGGCCTGAGGCCAAGTCTAGTAATATGTTTTTACAACCACAGGGCGCAAATGCAGAAGGATCTAGGCAGAAACATTTTTATTTAGTGGAGAAAGTAAAGCAGAAAACTCTGGCCTTTGAGACACAGGAGGAAGCAAGGAAGTTGATTGAGCTAACATAATCAAAGCACCCAGACTCTGCCAGAAGCCTTGGATATCACCTGTTTTTAACTGTGCAGGCCAGAAGGTCAGATATAAATTGCAATAATTACTTTCAGAAATTAGAGCAAGCAGTCAGCAGTAGTGGCGTGGGCTCCTCATAGAACACGGGTCTGATTCTGGCGATCGTGATGTGGAAATAATGACAAGAGGAAATCCTTTCAAGGCTTTGTGTAAGCCTTGCCACGGATTCCCCCAGCCACCAGCTTTCTCACTGTCATGCCTTAATTAATTGCCAATCCCCGTTTGGTGGCCCAGTTGCAGTGGGATCCTCTCCCACAAACTGACTTCTGTAGAAACCCCACTCCTCTCCCCAGAGGCACCTTCTGAAACCTGCAGCAGACAAGAGCTCACTGGTAATTTCTATAATGATGTGCCAGTGGTACTAAGATACTTGCCTTCTTGCTGGGAGCACTTGGATAACCTGTCAGTGTCTGTTATGTTTCCATGTCATATCATATTTTATGTGACACTGCCTACAGGGCTGCATATATGGAGTTTCATGAGCCCCTTTCCAGTGGTCATAGGCGGGTGTTTGGAGCAATAATATTTTTTTTACAACTTTTGGGGTAATAAAAAGCATTTTTGGATTTAGAATAACAGAACTGACCTCAAATGGGGACTTTGCTGTTGGCCTGATGTGTGGCTCATCGTGGAAAGGACAAGAAATGTTCCTGCTGCCCTTCACGGTAAGCTATCACAAGGATCCAGCAGCCACATGCAATTCTGGCACAGTGATCAACTCATTTGTACTCATCTTTCCTGTCATTTGCCTTGTGATCTGCTTAGCAATGTCCTCTTGGTGAACCTGACATTACATCCCAAATCTACAGGTCTTTTTTTTTTTTTTTTTGCAGTATTACCACTCCCACATGCTGCAAGCTCAGTGTTGGTGGTGAAAAGTACTCAAGTAGGAGAAAAACACAGATTAACCAATAAATAAGCACACAATTGACTGCAATTAATAGCAATGAGACTTCATCATAAAGGCAGCAAATTGAAGGAGAATCATTACAGTTGATTTTTCAAAGTAGGTAATGTTTTGGGTTTACAGTACCCTAGTACAATAGCAACTGCATCTTTCTTCCTGTTGGAGGTGGACTGTGGACAGAGAGGAAGAAAGAAGAAGGAAGGACAACTGGTGTTGTTCACTTTCTATTTTGATTAAATCTGGGTAATACATCTTGTTCAAGGAAATCTCAAATACCAGTAAGGACCAGACAGAAATTACCAAGATTGTGGGAGACCAGAGTTTGAAATACTTTCACAAACAGAATTAAAAAAAAAAAAAAACAACACACACACACAAAAAAAAAAACACTTATGGATTGGTATTAGTTTATACACATTTATAAGAAAGTTAATCACTCTTACATCCTTAAAGAGGTGAGGATAGCCTAAAGTTCATTAGGGTTGAAAAATGTCTGTGACAGTGCCAGAGCCAAAGATGGAACCAAGTGGCAACAAATCCCAAATCTTTGCTCTGACAAATATTTAATACTTCCTCTCAAATGTTAAGAAGTATGATATTCCTGGTTTACATTACGCTCCTGGGTTATGCAGCCTCTTAGTGGCCAAAATCTAAGTTGTATCAAGCTCTAAGCAAAATAAGAGGTTCCAGAATGGCCCATGCTAGTGAAAAGTAGAGATTTCACGTTCATTTGCCTGTGATAACCTCCACCTCCAAAGAAAATAACTCATTTCAAAAATGATTTTATTACAAAAAAAAAAAAAAACACCAGAAAAAGACTCCTTTCTTAAATGAAGTTATAAAATGATTTTTACCACATCCTTCCGCATCTCCCTTTTCTACGGATCAGAACGACAGGAACCAGATGCTAAGCCAGAAAGGACATTGTTCCACCTGCAACATCTGGCTCGTTGGCAAGCCGTACGGGAAGCTTCAAAGTTGCATCTCTGCCTCTCACATGGTAAGGCTGCTGGTCGATTGCTTTATCTTCCTGGATGTAATTTTCCTTTGATTCACCTATAATTCTGAGGAACTGATGCATTTGTATCCATTTTGAATAAGGTTCTGTACAAATGCCACATTTGATCTCTAGGCAGATCCTTTTATTTCCTTTTATATGTTCTCTACTTTAATTCATGCACTAGCTTTACTGCTGCTCAGCTACATCGTGGTTGATACTTGCACACACGCCATAGCCTTTTTTCCCTACATGAAGTTAAATATCCAGGCTCTCAGCCATGCAAAACCAAGTAGAAATTAAAATGCTTTTCTTAGTATTTCTCCTTGCTGCAGTGAGACATTTTTAGAGGCGAGGTAGCCTCCTGTTACTTACTAACATTCCTGAATCACTCCTTTCCTCTACTCCTCAGTCCTCTTCTGTGAGACTTTTTCCACCTCTCTGTTTCTTGCAAGCATTAAATCAAGCAAGTCAAACATTAAAGTCACTTTGACATGAAGCAGAAAAAGCAAGAAGGCAGTTAAGACTGGGCATCACACTCCTCAGAACCAGCTGGTCTAGCGAGGTAACAACAAATTTCAGCTGTTTCCAAGCACTTTGATGTCGAAGGAGCAAAAAGCCCTTGTCCCTACAAAATAGTGAGATAATCCCAACAGCGGAGAAAGACACAAACCACGTACATACAGCACAACAGTGTTCTGACTGGGCTCTCTAGAGGGTGCTGTGAAACATTCTGTTAATTAATAGGAAAGGAGTAATAATTCATTAGCATTCATTCATTTCAGCTTTAAATCCTGATTAGAAATGTATCCTGCCCTACAGCTATCTTGATTTTTTTTTTTTTTTTTTTTTTAAATCTGTGCTGGAATCTGTAACAGGGAACAGGATTTCCCCTTTGCTCTGCTCTTCTCTTCCTCCACCTGCCTTGCCATCAGACAGAGATCTATTTTCCCAGCTACAGAATTCCTGCTCTGAGGTAGGTAAAATCTGAGTGTGGGGTGATGAGATGTGGCCTAAGAAAAGTATTTTTTTCCTTAAAGGGCCATTTTTTTTCAGGTTCTGTACCTGGGGCCAACCAAAACCCAGAAGCTGCTTCAAACCAACATAACCCATGACAGCAGGGCAAGTCATTAGTCCACAGAAAGCAATTAGTACTTTCCAAGAAGTGGCACAGAAGTACTTGCCTCATGTTTTTGCTTTAAACACACATGGGCAGGCTCAGTTTCATGGTGGGTGGACATAGATCTACTCCTCAGCTCAGCAAGAAATTCCCAAGAAAGAGGGACTTGCACCTTTGCCTTTGTCTAAGCACCAAGCTCAAGGAAAAATTCTTTGCAATCTACAGACAAAATCATAAAAAGTAAAAGTTAGCAGAGCTGAGGAGTGTAACTGGCAGAAACATGGAGTAATTTTTTACCCTTTACTGGATGCCTTCAATTGTTGTGTACACAGTCCTTACTCTGTGCTGTTCAATATTGCCACGGTAGTTTACAATTATAAGCAGCCATGAGTGAGTTTGAACTCATTTATTACTTTTTTTTTTCCCCCCACCCATTTTCCTAATCTCTGTAGTTGGCTGTGTAGGAATACAAGTATATGCTGGGTTGGACTAATTTCCCCTGCAGTCTGTACAGACCACCTTTTGCAGTCCGACACTATGGTACCCAACATCAGAGGAGCACACGTGGACAGCCACAGCATGAGGCCGTGATGCTAGAAGTGAGCTGACTCACCCGTTTGGCAGCATGAAGCACTGCTCAAATAGCAGCTTGCATCATGCCACACTGACACCAAAGTTACTATTTCAGTACGGAAATACTCACGAAAAGCTACACACCGCAGTGATGTAGCGATGCCTGGTAGTAGATAATCTCTGATATGATGCAGCCACAGACATTTGGTGGAGAAAATAGTTTGCCGGCATTATCTGCTTGACTCATAAAGAAGATAAGAGCCAAATACAATCTGAAAGCAATAGCTTCCATGGGAATCCTGGTGTCTTCAATATGTATTTAGTAACACATACTTTTGAGAAGCAGAGGGGCAGCACTCCTAACCCCAATGGATCCTGGGCATCGCAGATTCCCTAGGCAGGTGTTGGCTGGTGTCAAGTACTGCCCAGTCCTTACGGGCCAAGTGGCAGCAGCTGGCTGCCTCCCCACCCTCTCATGCCTCTGTGTCCTGGTGAACCAAATGACTACTTTCTCCCACTCTGGAGATACCATTTTTCTCTCAAATTGCCCAATTGGCCAGTGTAGTTAAGCCCAAAGTAAAGAGGTCTTTACGTATTTTGCTCCAGACTGGAAGAAAGTTTTGTGTACTGAAAGCCACACCTGATTTTCTATCCTGACCTAGAAGCAGAAACTCTTCTTCCAAGCCTTGCCCCCCTCCCAATGTGTTCTTCACATTCTCATCTCCTGCAGAAAGTTTGCCTTGCAGAGGTATCACCTGGAAAAGGGAATAGCCATGGAGAAGAATCACTTTTTGCAGGAGATCCCCTTTTCTGCTATCATTATTAACCAAGACATTCAATAACTCTGTTGATAATGTCACCTGCCACACAATGCTCTCTGGTATCTTGAGGAAAGGTCACAAAGAGCAGCCTACGATCTGGGAACCTGACAGGTACTAGAAAGTTTAGACAGCATAGAAGACTTGGCCAGCAGAGGTGAGAGGCATGGAAATCAGACATGCAAAAGAAGTGATTACAGGTTTCCTCCAGAGTCACAAGTCATCTAAGTGCCAGTGAAGCCTCTACTTCTGAAGCCTTCCCTAATGCTGGTGGACTACGTAGAAATACAGGGGTTTGGTCAGACCTACACCGCCTTGCTCAGCCTTCCCAATACATCTTTGCTCTCCTGCATTTTTAAGCTGTGTAATGATGAAGATAATTCTACAACATTGAGCTTTAGCTTCTGAATAAAATATTTTATCTTGCAGTCGAAAAAGACTTAGTGTTTCTCTCCACATATACAATTTTATGAGTTTTCCTTCCTCCTTTATAGTAACATCGAAGTTCTTCAATGGTCAGAAACCTCGGACCTATTTTTGAGTGTCAAGGACCACAAGAAAATAATCCCCTGTGAAGTGTGTGTGTGCTTGGCACCTTTGAAAATCAGACACTCTCATGCTTAGCTATCAAAATGACTGGCAGCAGGCATATCCCTAGACAGTGTGATCTATATAAAAGTTTTCCTCCTTCAAACCCTTGTCACTAATTCCAAATCACATTCCTTCAAATCCCTGTCAAAAATATATTAAATTTCTACACAGGTCAGTCCAGCTTCTCTACAGAAGAACAGTTTAATCCACCCTGCTCAGCCTGGTTAGGCTATCCATATTCTCCATTCAATTAGGCCAGCTCTATTTTTGATCACATCAGTACCAGAACAAACATCATTTCTCAGGCACAGTCTCAGGACATTTACCTTTCAATGTCTCCACTCAAACTTTTCCATCTTGATGCTTTGTCTTCTGTTCCTCAGTCCTCTTCCTACATTCCCTATCATTTTCAAAAGACGCCTTTCTATATTGTCCTATGAGACCTTCCTCCACTGCCTCAAAATTCAGTGGCAATTCCTCTTCTCTTCAGCCATCACCCTTCACACATACATTTGCAAAAATCAACATCATCCTGCTTGTGAAGGCAGTGACGCTGTTCTTTCGTAAGCCACTGTTTATGTTTCTTTCCTCTGTGTAGTCTTTCCCAGGAAAAAATGGGATGACATAAGGTGTCAACAGTGGTTGGGGAATTCTCCGTTTCTGTAGAGTTTGCTTACAACAGGCAGCCTTGCACGTGTGCACCCACCCACACATAATATTTTTATAGCAAACCGAGTCCATCTAGTAGATGGAGATCAAAAGGGCTACACTGACCTGTCACATATCCACCAAACACCCAGGAGAAAATCTTGGCATTAACCTTCAATAAATGAATGGATTATATTGCAAATAATAAAATGGCTAAATATAGGCACAGTCTATGAATTAAACATTGCCTAACTTTGCATGATGCTAATTTATTTCGGCATATCTTGATGATTGTGCTGTGACTGTGTCCTTCTGAATGTGTTTTAATTGTCCAGTGGTTGTCCTTTACAATCCAGCTGCTGGCTACTGTAAAATATACTGTAATCCATGTCAACACTGCATATACAACTACACACACATAGTGTATACTGGGCATGGATTACGTTTTGTTTGGTACAGGTAGATAGGCATACATGTACACAAGCACTCATTAATTTCAGTAGAAATATAGGAAAGCTCAGTCTATTGAAATGATTAGAAATGCTGTCAGTAGAGTAACTCTGTGGGTATCACAGGTCTGAGACTAAAGTTTTATTTGTATTTCCTAAAAATAAAGCATTAGCATTCCCTGTGCAGAGGAATATTACCTTATTCTCAGGTTTACATCTCTATATTCAGCCTTCTATAAAAACTGGAGGCGTTAGCCAAGACAAAAGCAACCTTCATTGGGTGCTGTACAACTACAGAAAAATAATTAGCTGCTGCTCCAAAGGCAGTCTAACCCAGAAAAGAAATGATAACAGTTAGAAAGCAAACAGAGAGAGGGGACTTGCCGAAGTCTCAGGTGCACGGCTGTTATTCTGCTCCTGTAGGCTTCTGCCTGAAAGCAGGATGGGACCAACACCAGACAAGCCATGGGACAGACATGGAAGAGGAGAAACCAAGCTACAAATCTCCTTGTGGTAGGTTGCCGAAGGCCCCAAGCCAAGCCAGGAGGATGCGCTGAGCCTGCCCCTGGCCATCAAAAGGCACTTGTTCCAAGGCAGGGACATCCCTTCCTGTACGCATATAGGGTGCACATTTACCTAAATGATGCTTGGCATTACGAGCACCTTGATATGTACACAGCACAACCAGTTATGGCACGGCCAGGACTGTATGGCATATGACTTTGTCCCCACATGTTCATTTCAAATACAGGTGCACCTTGAGCTCCATGCTTCTTTTATCCAGAAAGGCTGTTTGATCCATAAACACACTTTTCACTTTTTTACTACTCTTAGAAGCCCCTCTTTGCCTCAGAACTAATTACTGAGTGGGACTTCCAAATGCTCCAAGAGTTTTTTTCCCCCCTCTTCTCCCAGAGCTTTACCTAATGCACCAACACTTTTGCACCAGACATCGTGCACATCATCAATGTGAAGCTGACTTTTTTTGCCAAGACACAAAAATTCACATTTCCTGCCTTCCTTGTGTTCAAAGTGGACAGTCACTTGGAAGGAAGCTGCAAAATGAAGCAAAGAAGATATATTTGCCATTGGTCACCCTTAGAGGACACTAGGACCCAAGCCATAGCATCCTAGAAAACCTACTGGACCAAACCAAGGCACAAAATATTCTTGTTTATTGTGCCTCTCCCTAAATCCAGTTACGCAAACCCTGCCCAGGGTTCTCAGGCACCACTCTCAATGGACTGAGTCATGCAAATCAGGGCTGGAGAGGGCTTTGGCCCTTCTGTTGAAATTTGTCTTCAGCGCTATCACCATTACCATGTTTTTCATGATATTTTCTTTCCAACGCCAAATACGGACTATTTTGTTGCTTTAAATCTGCAGGTAAGAAGATTAGCTAGCTTTGGAACATGGCGATGCGCTTTTGAGCAAGTGGCAAACACCACCTCAAACATGCAGCCCTGAAAGACGTGCTCAGTAAACTCATACGGCTTTTCTGGAATAAAGAATTGAGCTTCCTATTGCTCTCTCCCGTGTAAGTGTAAGGCTCATTATGGAAGCCAGTTTCACCAGTTCACCCCCATGTTTACCAAACCTACATACTGAGAGCCCAGAGAAATAAAAGAAAATGCTGAAGTGGATAAAATAATAAACATTGGGGATTGTATGTTTAATTCATGCGGCAAATTACCAGAGATTACTTGTACAAGTAGCCTGCAATGTCCTCAAAAATATTCTTTAACTGAGGAAAAGTTTTCTGACCTTTGGAGGAAATGCTTGCTTCTAGCTATGACTAAAAAGAGATTTCCTTCTTTCTCTGTTGTGTTAAGAATCTTTTCTTCTTATAAAGAAGGCACCACAGTGGTTTATAACTGTCATAAAAGCCTGCAATCCTTTTGAGGTTAAGCTACTCAGCTATTCAACTTTTACTACAGAAACTTTGAAATTCAAAAAGAAAAAATAATGTAAGTTTTTGAAGGACATGTGTTGCTGTAGGTGATCCTGTTAATTAAAAGTGATTGCCTGCTAGGAAATCATACTTTAAAAAGTTTCATGAATTTATTAGAACCCTGAAGGTATCTTTGTATGCACAGGGCTTTACATGCCATTTATGCAATTTTGTTTCAGATCTGTTTAAAGCTTCACTGACGCTCCCAGAGCAGGGAACAGCACTGCCAGCATTTGTATGTATTTTGGCTAATTGAATTATGTGAAAATACATACTAATGAAGCTTTACCAGTGATGTTTGCTGAGGATAGTTTAAGTCTCATTTTCTTCTATATTAGCAGTATCTTTCTGCTGCAGATTTACCTTTTTGAAAAGTACAGACTCCTACAGCTTTTTGTGCAGAAACTAAGTCCCAATTTTTGTGGCTTTATTCAGAAAGTAGCTACGTGAATTGTATACGTCAAGGTATGTGAATATACATACAGCCTTTAATAGAGATAAAAAGATGATAAACAGTAAACTCTGGTTTGATATTAGAATATACTAGTTCATTATTAGGAGGGAACAATTTAAAATGCAAAGCTAATGAACGTCTATTGTAACAATTTATTTTCCTGCTACTAGATTTACAGATTGTATTTTAATTGGTCATTACTTAATTATCCATTTCTGCACAAATCCATCTGGCAATATTCTTACATAGACTTTTCCTCAGCAATGCTTTGCTACCCCTTGACAATGACGTTTGAGGAATAAATGATTGAGTCGGAACAGTTGTTTATCGTGTGTGTTTTTTTAACTTGAACCATGGGAAATATCAAAGCTGAGGTATGTGAATCTCTTTGCATTTGAGGTGGGCTGGGATCCAAATCCCTACACTCACCAGCTAACTGCAGGTATCTCAAGTTTGTCACTACTTCACAAAAGCAATCAGCTAATTGCCTAATAAAAATTGCGATCGAGTATTCGCTGCTCACATTTTCTTTTTCAGCTCACAGACATTAGAAAACTCTTGTGCTTTTTTTTTTTTTCTGTTTTTTTTTTTTTTTTTTTTTTTTTTTTCTATTATGTCACTTTTGTTCTTTATAGCACTTTGCATAAACTAACACAATATGTAGGCAGCACCCTGCCTCGGTATAATATCAAATATTGAAACGTTAAAAGGAAAAAAAAAAACAATCCTCTGCACCTCTTACCAGCCAAGAAAAAAAAGAGCTGAGGGAAAGTAACAGGAGATTTATGAAAGTTCACCATACACTTTGATGAATATGTGGGCAGGTACTTTTGCACATACTTTGGAATGTGTTGTATGTTACGGAGAAATTTATGCTCCCCGGGACTGACTTGGAATGATCAGTGATGGAGAGCTGTTGAGACCTGACTGGGCACTCAGTAGCATTAGCGTTCATCTGGAGCCACCGCCCTCAGTTTCGCAGAGTTTTTCTGGAATTAGGCTATTTCAAATAATGTAGCTATAGACAGTATGCATGATTTCAGGAAAAAAAAAAAAAAAAAAAAAAAAAAAAAGGCATATTAATAGCAAGCAGAGGAAAGCATCATTTGGTATATTTAATACTCTTTTTTTAACTCTAGAGTCTCCCAAGTTATTGTTCTTTGTTTCATTAAAACTGGGGTTTAATTTTTTCAAGCTGGGCTTCCCAGACTATTCATGAAATTTAATGGCAGCATCTTTGAAAACTTACCTCTTTAGGGTTTGCATGTGTGTGTGCATGTGCATGTACTTCAGAGTCAAAGTTACAGGCTCGAGAGTCCTGACTGTATTTTAAGTCAGAAACTG